TGGTGATGAGGCCAGGGAGAGGGAGGGAGCGGAGGCGTTGGATTTCGGTGCGGTAGCGTTTGCGGAGTTTTTCCATTTTTTGGCGGCACTGGACGACGGTTTTGGCAGTGGGGGAATCGGCGACCTCTTCCCCGTGGGTGGCTTTGAGGTTGGTGCGACCGAGGGAGGACCACTTGTCGCGGTAGGCGTCGATGAGGGCGGAGGTTTCCTCCGGGGTTCAGCATGGCGGGAGGAGACGAAGGGTGGGGCGGCGAGACTGAGGGGAGGTCGTCAAATACTCAATGGAGTGGTTGTTCAGAAGAAAATGCATCAAAAATAATGTTTTGGGACTAGAGGGCTAACCCGGCCCTGCTTCATTCACAACCCACTTGGATGGGTTTTGGGGGACCAGGAGCTTTAAAGAAGCCCCCAAGATGTGGGTCAACCAGAAATGGGGCTAAATATAGAAAGGGCCCGGGTTAGCCCTTGGGGCTTGGAAAGAAACTGACAGCTCTAGGCATAATGATGCTTTTTATTAAGGAAGAGAACACATCTCATGGATATCGAGTCCTTCCATTACCACTTCAAAGGATAATTTTACAGTTGTTCCAGAAGATGACCCTTTAGTATTTTGTAGTGAAGATGATCCTGAAAACTGGCATGTTCACGTTGGGCAATGCAAGTTAGTTCTGCGTAAACATTACTTGACTGTTATTCTTTCTGGACTTTGGATATAATTTGTTTTATTGCATTGCTTTCCAACTCCTACAGATCTTCCGCTCCATTGACTCGGGGTCCCTCAATGATTTTCCAAACATGTTGATGTTCCTCTGTCCCAGGTTTATATACTTTCTAAGTGAAACTCTATACTGCATGCTTGCAAATCAAACACTATCCCTCACTTTTTAATTAACATAATTTTGTATGCAGAATCTTTATGTGTGCTAAAATATTTGGTCATAGAAGAAACTGTTCAAACAGCGTAAATTCAAGCGATCAGATCTGCCCAACACTTATTTATATTGAAAACATACTTCAATGGATCATCATATGCATGGCCATAAAGATGCAGGTTAGGCTTAAGTTCTTGGATTTTAAAAGCAGCGTAATTTTCTGTATTTTATGAGTTGGTTTACTCTGTCTGCAGACAAAGGACATCCTGTAAAGTTCGATTCATTGATCTTGATGGGAAAAGAAAAACAAAGTTGAAAGCATAAATGTTGAAATCTATATTTCTTTCACAAGTTGATTAGATAGAGGAAAGAATTGTTGGTTTGATGTAATAATGACAATAATGTCATTATCTTATTTTAATTTAGTCAGGAAGAACTCTCTTCCATCTTCTTCTCTCTTTGTTTTGAGAAAACTTGTTTATTATTTTTCTTAATAATTACTGGTATTATTTATTTTGCTTTAGTAACTATTTGACTTTTTTCTACCCTTGTCCATAAGAGATACTTTCAAAATCCTTGGTTTGTACTTTTGTCAGATATTTTAATATTTTTTTCTGAGTCCTATGAAATTTAAACATTAATAGTTTTTTATTTGCACTTTACGATTTCAAAATCTAAAAAATACTACTACTACTATTATTTTTATAATATAAATTCTTAACCTTCTCTCTTATTAACATTACTAATTTAAGTTTTTATTAATTTTAAGTTAATGTTATTTAGGCTTTTTTCTATTTTTGTCAACCAAGCCTTAAAGATTGAGGTAATTTGTGTTGGATATTAATTAAGATTTTTTTCAATTAGTAGTGCTATTTTCACTCAATGGTGGCCATTATTTTTTATTGGTATCGGAAAAAGAAGATTGTGATGATTGTATGATAGACGGGTCCAAGCCAAATGCCACATTAAGACCCATTATTCGTGGAATGGCCAAGGTCATACAACAAGCCCTTGAAGATCTATCTCAAGAAGGGTAAGTACTCTTTGGACACTTCAAGTGGGAGTCAGAAGCCCAACAAGAAAAATAGAACAATCCATACCAACCCATGGAAAGGGATAAATTTGGAGAAATCTCAATCGGGTGGCGCTGGGCGCCAACCCTCCACCGCTCAGCGACAACGGACCTCTTTTTCAGCATGTTTTCTTGGCCAAAGCCAGTACATGTTCAACACTACTCCACGTGTCCTATAATCCATGAAATAAGGCTGATGATCAAAATTGTAAATCTGGTGCACAAAGGGGTGAATCATCTATAAATTCACCCATCTTACTTTGTTGAAATCACTTTTAGAATTAATAGAAATGTTTCAGATGTGTAAGGATGTGTCGTTCGGTATCTCCACGTCCTCCTCTTCTCCTACTCCGTATATCTTGTCTTCTGTACTCGATCCTCAACTTTCTTCCCAGTCCTAGGGTGGGAGACCTGCAAAAGATTCTCCGATACTAAAGTCAGTTGAGAGCAATAGCTTTCCTCTATCGAATAGCAATAAATGTGCAGTAAATGCAGCCTATCTACCACTCACCCTGGATCTGTATTTATAGTTTTCGCTATGGGCTTGGGATTAGTGAAAAGTTAATCACGGCCCAAGTCAGTCCAATAGCTTTTAAACCCCTACTTACCTTAAGCTAAGTTGATTAGTAACGCGGGCGGCCGTCCTAGCGGGTTTTTATCCTCATGACCGGCCGCCCTTGACGGGTCCCCGGCCTGGCCGGTCGACTTCGGGCGAGTTGTTTTTTCCCCTAGTGTCAAGCGGTAAGGTTGCATGATTATGGGCATATGGGCGTCCGGCCCACCATGCCCAACCCTTCCCAACAGTAAGAAGAAGGGTGGTTTCCTGGGCCCCATACGGTGACGTGGGCGTCCGGTCCGTTTGGTGGTCCAATGACGTGGGTGTCCGTCCGTACGGCGCCCGGTCCCTGCTGGTACATCATACATTTTGATGTGGCCCTCAGGATCGGTGGTCCCATCATACATTTTGAATTGCGGTGC